CACTCTAGAAAACTTCAGACGGGCCTGGACATGTACTGGCTTAAGCAGGGGGACACGTCTGGCACTGCAGGATTTGAGTCCCTGGCGGCGTAGTGTGTTACTGATGGTAGGCTTTGTTACTTTGGTCCCAGCTCTCTGCAGGTCATTCACTAGGTCCCCCCGTGTGGTTCTGGGATTTTTGCTCACTGTTCTTGTGATCATTTTGATCCCAGGGGGTGAGATCTTGCGTGGAGCCCCAGATCGAGGGAGATTGTCAGTGGTCTTGTATGTCTTCCATTTCCTAATAATTGCTCCCACAGTTGATTTCTTCAAACCAAGCTGCTTACCTATTGCAAATTCAGTCTTCCCAGCCTGGTGCAGGTCTACAATTTTGTTTATGGTGTCTTTGACAGCTCTTTGGTCTTGGCCATAGTGGAGTTTGGAGTGTGACTGTTTGAGGTTGTGGACAGGTGTCTTTTATACTGATAACAAGTTCAAACAGGTGCCATTAATACAGGTAACGAGTGGAGGACAGAGTAGCCTCTTAAAGAAGAAGTTACAGGTCTGTGAGAGCCAGATATCTTGCTTAATTGTAGGTGACCAAATACTTATTTTCCACCATAATTTGCAAATAAATTCATAAAAAATCCTACAATGTGATTTTCTGGATTTTTTTTTCCTCAATTTGTCTGTCATAGTTGACGTGTACCTATGATGAAAGTTACAGGCCTCTCTCATCTTTTTAAGTGGGAGAACTTGCACAATTGGTGGCTGACTAAATACTTTTTTCCCCCACTGTATATATAAAGAAGAAAATAAACAAATTAAAAAAATATATATATATAATATATATATATATATATATATATATATATATATAAAACAAATGAAAATGAACAATATGCTAGAAAAATACAAAATTTGAAAAATGTGAAAAAAATACTAAATAAAGTGTAAAGTGGTTGTCCCACTGGCTATCATAAGGTGAATGCACCAATTTGTAAGTCGCTCTGGATAAGCGCGTCTGCTAAATGACATAAATGTAATGTAAACATCATGATATACACGGAGAAAAGAGTCGGCCCAAGAATTGAACCCTCTGGCACCCCCAACGAGACTGCCATAGGTCCAGACAACAGGCCCTCCGATTTGACACATTGAACTCTATCTGAGAAGTAGTTGGTGAACCAGGCGAGGCAGTCATTTGAGAAACCAAGGCTATTTAGTCTGCCAATAAGAATGCGGTGGTTGACAGAGTCGAAAGCCTTGGCCAGGTCGATGAAGACGGCTGCACAGTGCTGTCTATTATCGATCGTGGTTATAATATCGTTTAGGACCTTGAGCGTGGCTGAAGTGCACCCATGACAAGCTCGGAAACCGGATTGCATAGCGGAGAAGGTACGGTGGGATTCGAAATGGTCGGTGATCTGTTTGTTAACTTGGCTTTCAAATACTTTCGAAAGGGCAGGATGGATATAGGTCTGTAACAGTTTGGATCTAGAGTGTCACCCCCTTTGAAGAGGGGGATGACCGCGGCAGCTTTCCAATCTCTGGGGATCTCAGACGTTACGAAAGAGAGGTTGAACAGGCTAGTAATAGGGGTTGCGACAATTTCGGCGGCTAGTTTTAGAAAGAAAGGGTCCAGATTGTATAGCCCAGCTGATTTGTAGGGGTCCAGATTTTGCAGCTCTTTCAGAACATCAGCTGTCTGAATTTGTGTGAAGGAGAAGCGGGGGGGGGGGGGGCATGGGCAAGTTGCAGCGGAGGGTGCAGAGTTGGTGGCCGGGGTAGTGGTAGCCAGGTGGAAAGCATGGCCAGCCGTAGCAAAATGCTTGTTGAAATTCTCGATTATTGTAGATTTATCGGTGGTGATACTGTTTCCTAGCCTCAGTGCAGTGGGCAGCTGGGAGGAAGTGCTCTTATTCTCCATGGACCTAAGCTCATAGTAAGCCTAATACTTTGCCAGAACTGCCGCCCATTTGGTAAGAAGTAATGCATGTATTTATGTGTTTGTCTTCGTCGTCTCTGTTGGACCTAGGCCTTTGTGGGAAGGGTCTATTGGGCCTTCTCTTTTCGGATGGCCTTTTAGATGTAAGGTTCAGATGTAAGGCTCAGATTGTCCACAAGAGGTCACAATGTCCTACTTCTTAGTCGTTTCTTTACTTTCACAAGTTCTGGAAGTGGTCTTCTGAGGACGGCTAATCAGTCCTGTTGATGATCCCCTGTGGGTTGATGAGAGCAGTGTAGTAGACAATGGTTTGAAGAGAGTAACAGGATGGTCCCACTTAAATTCACCTTCTTAGATACAGTACTTAGAACAGCTACTCAGCCGTAACATTGATTGTTAGTGGAGGCAACTTTGTCGTCTTCACCTCGTGTTGATTTTCAGGGTTGGGACCAATATGGACAACAGCTGCAGTTCCGTCTAGTCTAATCTGATCATTCTTATCTCAGTCTTTTATGCACTCTGGTAAAGAGGGCCGTTTCCGTCATACTGACACGCAATCTGAGCTCCCTTGGGCGTGGCTAGTTACGAGGCAAAAGTATTATCATCACCATGATTTTGTTAGAAAGCTAAAATCACATTCCTATCTTCACGAAAAACATTGTCTTCCTCCTTGATATTTTCTACACAACGTATAGGATGTAAACCTGATATACACAGTGTAAAAGCTCTCCAAGTCACAATGTTTTCATTATAACGCCTTTCTATAATTTTTAATGACATCACAAAATATACATACATTTTCCATATTCCATTTCTCATCATTCCCAACATTTGGTTGTAGAAATATATTGTCCCAATGTTCATTGTTGGATGTTGAAGTTTTTGGCGGCAAAAGTCTCTGAAACAAAGGACATTCCTTTCGCCATACTAGAGGGCCAGAGATAGCTTCTCCTATCTCTAATTTATGACAGTATTAAGGTGTCAAGACCGGTACAGCCCCCCACCCCCCCCTCCTGTAGGTAAGAGGGTCTGGTTGTTGTCTGCCATTTACCAAGCTGATATGAGGCCTTTGATCCTCACCCAGGGAGAGTCATGATAGTCCCCCTCTGGTGGTTCAACCTTGGAAGGATTCTGCAAGTTTGCAACCCACCATTAAAATAAATGACCACAGGATTTCCTGGTTGTGGATCATCGTTGCGGGCCCGTCGTCCGGTTGTCCAGGCTGGTAGATCTAGGCAGTAACTTACATGACTTTAACAACGCGCAACACTCAGGCAATACATCATTACATTTCCTCCCCAAAGGGGCAGCGCTGTGGCACTAACTGGTGGTCGTATGGGGAACTTGTTTGTGGCAGTATCACTTCCTTAGTGTCAAAGGAAATAAAAATGTAAAGAATAAAAACACAACAAAAGACATACAAAATATAGTTCCCCCACCTTAATCATCTACTTGGACTCTATTCTATGTACGTCCATGGTCTTGGCTAAATGACTCTATCATGACATTTGTCTAATGTTATATCTAGGGCGATCCTATTTGAAGGTGGTAGTTAAGGCACTCTCTAAAATGGCGCCCTGAATGACAAAGCTTCCATTGGTGGCACTACAGGGCTGACCTTGCGAACTCTGGGGAAGAAGCTGGGGATGCTGTGGATGGGTCACCTGATGGGGTTTCGGAATCTATTGCCAGTTTTCCCGAAAATCGTGATTGCTTCCGTCCCACAGGTGATCCTAGCATAAGATCTCATTAGGTCTTCCATTGCGTGTGTGCGCCTGTGTACATAGTAGGTGCAAACGCCAAGGGCAATAAGACCAAGGACCATGGTAACAGTCAGGATACTGTCCGGCACCGTCCAAGAGCGGGTGACAGACCAATCTTTTGGCTTATAGTCTGATAACCAGGTGGCGAATCGCATCTCTGCATGTCTGGCAGACATATCAGTATGGATGACGGATCACCACCTCAAGCTGAACCCTGGCAAGACGGAGCTGCTCTTCCTCCCGGGGAAGGACTGCCCGTTCCATGATCTCGCCATCACGGTTGACAACTCCGTTGTGTCCTCCTCCCAGAGTGCGAAGAGCCTTGGCGTGACCCTGGACAACACCCTGTCGTTCTCCGCTAACATCAAGGCGGTGACCCGATCCTGCAGGTTCATGCTCTACAACATTCGGAGAGTACGACCCTGCCTTACACAGGAAGCGGCACAGGTCCTAATCCAGGCACTTGTCATCTCCCGTCTGGATTACTGCAACTCGCTGTTGGCTGGCCTCCCTGCCTGTGCCATTAAACCCCTACAACTCATCCAGAATGCCGCAGCCCGTCTGGTGTTCAACCTTCCCAAGTTCTCTCACGTCACCCCCCTCCTCCGCACACTCCACTGGCTTCCAGTTGAAGCTCGCATCCGTTACAAGACCATGGTGCTTGCCTATGGAGCAGTGAGGGGAACGGCACCTCCGTACCTTCGGGCTCTGATCAGTCCCTACACCCAAACGAGGGCATTGCGTTCATCCACCTCTGGCCTGCTGGCTCCCCTTCCTCTGCGGAAGCATAGTTCTTGCTCAGCCCAGTCAAAACTGTTCGCTGCTCTGGCACCCCAATGGTGGAACAAGCTCCCTCACGACGCCAGGACAGCGGAGTCACTCACCACCTTCCGGAGACATTTGAAACCCCACCTCTTTAAGGAACACCTGGGATAGGATAAAGTAATCCTTCTACCCCCCCCCCCCCCCCCCCCCCCCCCCCAAAAAAAAAAAAAAAAAAAAAGTGTAAAGTGGTTATCCCACTGGCTATAGGGTGATTGCACCAATTTGTGCACCCTTGAGCAAGGCACTTAACCCTAATTGCTCCTGTAAGTCGCTCTGGATAAGAGCGTCTGCTAAATGACTAAAATGTAATGTAAAATGTAACTAAAAGTGCCTCATTCAGTAGGCTAAGATCAACAGTCATCGGTCCCTCGTGCTGAATTTGGTTTTGAAAAGCTGGTGGTAGTTCAAGGAAACGTTTAGCAAAAGCGTCTGGCATTTCAAAATCTGTGTCTATCCTGTCGTCAGGAAGTTGGTGAAGGGCTAGATCATCTATGTGGATAATCGCCCCCCTCTGGTACCTTAATAAAAATTGTCTGATTGGGGAGATTCAGTTGGGTGGTTGAGTCATGGCGTTCGTAAGTCATACTGGCGGACGTGAATGGGGTGCTAATCAGCCATTCACGTCCATTCGTGGTGGTGACTCCACCTCTTGCTGTTAGTTTGGCTCTACAGCGTTCTTCGCTGGTGATAGGCTTAAGGCCACAAAGGCGCTCTGTGTTATCCCTGACAAAGGGTTTGCTAGGACACAAGTAGTGGACGTCTTTGGTTAGAGTACACAGTAACAGGTTAGGGGTGAGATAGAAATCTGGATTGTGTTCCTGATAAGCTATGACTGGAGGTGTGATGATTTTCACATGGGTGTCGTCGTGCCAAAATCCTACGTTTAGAACTGTTTTCAACCTATAGATATTCTCCAGTTCAACAGCGTCAGTAAAAATCCCACTTCATTTCGATTAACATCAACGTGTATTGGAATTGCAGACCCCAGACTATAGGCCAGGTGTGACTGTAATGGCTTTATCATGGTTGTCGTAGCTGAGGTCAATATGTTGTGCACCATTGAGAGGGACACTAGATATGAGGGGATTCTATTCATGGCCAAGTGGTCCATAGAAGAGCTAACTTCACGGAGAAAATCCTCCAACAACAATCGAACCAATTGGACATGGGCATAGTCATGGTTCATGACCTCTACTAGCTTGCCTACCGACAGGAGGGTTTTGTTCAGGAGAGTAGCGTGTGTGTTTACCAGTGTCCTGGAGAGACCTTCCCACATGCTGCAACCTGAGTGCCTGTGATTGCATCTGTTGCTGGATAAGTGGCATCTCTTCAGTAATCTCCCTAACATTTATTTTGACCGTGGCTAGACTGACTGCATTGACGGCAGTGGTACCTAGAGCAAATAGTGACCCTACGGCTGCACCTTTTGAGATTAGCGCCCAGAGCAATCGTTTTTCACTCCTGGTCTCTGCTAGTTCTGACTGGATGACTGTGAACTTTTGGAGTTGGGACAACATGTTGGAAGTGTCTAGCTGAGTGTGCTTAACTGCCTGGGTGTTCCAGTCAGCCCCGGCCCAACTCATATGTGCCGCAGGGGAAATGTGTTGGCGGTACACGTTCTCTGCATCTAGGCGGACGTACACCCTCTGCATGTGTACTCTGCTGTTGGTTATAAGGAGTCCTGGATCATCACGGAAAATGATTCCCGTAGGGGTCCACTTGTGAGTACATCTGCTGGATTGGTTTTGACCAGGGCGCAGTGTCAGGATCATCCAAAGAAACTCCTTCCTACAAAAACGATTTGATTATTTCAGTTGTGTTCTTTCTTTTTTTTGAAAGAAAAACGTTATTTAGCTGATTTTCATATTTTGAACAGCACAACGCAGGACAATATCAACAATGACAACGAAATGTGTGTCTTGTAGCTGGGAAAATAAGAAAATATGTTAGGTGCAATGTACTGACCTCCTGGAAGGGATCAGCTGAGGAGACTTTTGTTAGTACCTGTGATTGGCTAGGTTTCTATCTATTCGGGGCTGGCTTGCACCCTTTCTATTCCCATGGGGGGAGTGTACAACATTATCCTGTGTCAAAGCAGATAGCTGGCATTGTAAGAAAGCATGTGTCATTGAATTGGAGTTACTGTACAAGATCTCATGTGGCCCTGTCCAGTGGGGCAGGAACTTTTTCGCAACGCCCACGGGTTTGGTGTATACGTAGCACCACACCGTATCCCCTACCTCAAACTCCTGGTGTGAGGCCTTTTTGTCTTAATGGGTCTTGTCACCTTCCGCACTTCTTTCCAACTTTCCTTGAGCGTACGCAAAGGTAGTCTGGAGGTGGGATCTCAAGTCCGTCATGTATTGATGGGCCGGGTACACGGTGGCCGCGGCAACATCTACCGTTTGTTACAGGAAATGCAGTGGAAGCGTCATTTGCCGGCACGTCATCATCTCAAATGGTGTTATTCCTGTAGACCTGTTGCGTGTGGCTCTGATCGCCATCAACACAGGTGGGAGTTTGAGGTCCCAATCTTTGTGGTTGGCTGCCACATATTTCTTCAAGATTGTGACGATTGTTTGGTTGCTCCTTTCTGCCCTGCCAGAGCTCATAGGGTGGTACGCAATGTGGAGTTTAGCTTTGACTCCCAGGAGCCGCCACAGTTCGGTCATTACAGCAGCCGAAAAATGGGTTCCTCTTTCGCTGTCCATGGTTTCTCCTGGCAGGCCGTGGAGCAAAAAAACGGCCGTGGTTTCCGCTGTGTCATTGGGTGCGGGCAGGCACTCCACCCAATTTGTGAATGCACAAGTCACTGTGAGGAGATATTTGTTGCCTCTTGCCAACCTGGCAATGGGCCGACCCCGTCGATCTGTATCGAGCTCCAAGGGTAAGACAGGGGTTCTCTGTGAAGTGACTTGGAGGGTTGAAACTGGCAGCAAACTAAGATGATTCCCCCGGTGCTACATGGCTACGCATCACTGCAGACACCATGGGCGCCTCTGTGATCAATGCGTCTCGAACATCGAACACCCAAGGCGTGCCTGAATTGCTCCAGATTTCGCCATGTCAGCATGGTCGTTGCCAAGTTTGTCACAACCAGGTGATTTGGAGTGCCTCGTGACTTTTTTTCTAATACACCTGTATGTCGTGTTTGGTTATGAGGTCATCGCAAGCTAGAATGAGCTCTTTGTTTTTCACTTCTTTGCCACTTGAAGTAGTCATGTGCTTTTGTTTCCAAAACGGCAAGTGTCATAAGAAGATGAGTCGGTGCAGATTGCCAGTTCTGACAGGTTTGCAGTGTGATAAGTACACCAGCTACTTCTGCGAACTGACTGGCCTTGTTGCCTAGCTGAAATTGAAGAGGTTTGCACGGAATGTCGTTGTGCCATACCAATCCCACACCAGCTTGCAAGTGGTCTAGCTGACGGTAAGAACAGCCATCTACAAATGCCATCGGCATGCCAAGACACACGTTGTCTTCGAAGTAGTGATGGTTTGATGGCAATGGCGGAGCTACGTCACATGGGGCTGGTGCGAAGTCGGTTTCGTCTTCACCGCAGCGTTGATACCACTGCCAAAGCCCCACCCAAAGTAAGGTTTTTCGCTTTTGCGTAGTTGACTACAACATCATGGCTTTACAGCACCCTCACGGATTCTTTGGCTTTTCAGAAAAGTCACCGGCTGGTGACATGTTTCTATGATCACCTTTTATCCGCCGACATAAGAGGTGAAGTGCTTGACCGCCCAGACTATCGACAGCAGAGCTTTTTTGCAGTCTGAGTACTTGTGTTCAGAAGGGTAAGCGTAAGCAACCACACGTCTGTCTTGGTCGTATTTTTGGTACAACCCTGCACTAAGGTAGTGCTCTGAGAAACCTACTTCCAAAAATAATGTATTGTCTTTGTTGGGGTATATCAGGCAGGATGCCGCTCAAAGCAGGTCTTTTAAGGAAGGCACAGCTTAGTCGTGAGTGGCATCCAAAACGAACGGGTTGTCTTTTTGAAGAAGACGGGTCAAAGGTTTTGACAAGTCGTTATAATTTGTGATGAATTGACGGGAGTTATTACATACTCCCAAGAAGCTGCGTACCTCATGAAGTTTTGCAGGCGTTTTGATGTTGCGGACTGCTTGGATTCTGCTAGATTGTGGCAGGATGTCCTCAGCACCCACCAGAAGTCCAACATAGTTGACCTTGGTCCTGCACCATTCTCCTTTCATGATAGCCAGCTTAGCCCCTGCCGTTCCTAGTTGGTTAAGAATGTGGTCCATCTCGTTGAGGTGATGTGACCAAGTCTCGCTCCTCATGAGAACATCGTCCACATAGATTATCGTTCCACTTGTGGCTGCATCTGGCACTGCCTTGTGTAGGAAGATGTTGAACTCTGCGGGGGAGTTCGAATACCCGAACGGGCAACGATTCAACGTGAAGAGCTTGTTCGAGAAAGAGAAAGCCAACTTGTGTTGGTCGCGAGGGTCGACTGTCATGGTCCAGTAAACAACTTTGGCAACTTTTGGTCGAGCTGTGTCACAGACCAACAAGACAACAGAACCAGCTTGTTATGTTGTCTATAGTCAATGGTAAGACGCCATTTACCCGTTGGTTTTAAAACAGGCCACACGGGAGTTCTGTACGTACTGTTACATTCCCTAATTACTGCTTAGCTAATAGGGAGTCGATAATCTCTTGTACCGCTGAGTACACTGCAAGCGGAATTTTGTATTGTCTCACAAACGTAGGAGCTGCTCCGGGTGGCGTAGGAATACTCACCAAATGAATACCCATAACCCTGAAATTCAGCAGATCTGTCAACCAGATCTCTCTGTGTTTGTTAAATAAGTCCCGCAATTGATGTCTTTCAGTGTCATTGACAAGTGCGTCTGCCTCCATTAGTAGCTGTAGTACCTGTGCATGGAAACCAGGATATGGTTCAGCAGCATTGTACAGGTCTTCATCAGGTGGTGACGGCTTGTCAATGGTGGGGGAATCATTAGCTGTTACGTCATCAGTGTGTACTTCACGTGCAGAAGAAGATGCGGTATCATCCTCCGTGACGATGGAGTATATCATTTTCATTACATTTACATTTTAGTCATTTAGCAGATGCTCTAATCCAGAGCAATTTACAGTTTTAGTGAGTGCATACATTTTTCATACTGGCCCTCCGTGGGAATCGAACCCACAACCCTGGCGTTGCAAGCGCCATGCTCTACCAACTGAGCTACAGGAGGCCCTATATATCAACAGGTCGTTGTCAGAATCGACATCCAGCCTGAACGTTGATGTGTCGTCCAGTGGCAACATGGGAGTTACTGCGATTGCCTTTGACGGACAAGTGAAAAGCATCCCTTCCTCACCACATAGGTCTAGGGAGGAAGGAAGAGGCCCAATCACGCGAACAACAAGTTCAAAATCATGGAATGAGTAATCAATCAATGTTCCTAGCTGAGTGTGCCGAGGAATGGAGATATCCGCTTGAGTCAGATTCTGCACCAAGAGGTGAGTGGATCTAGCGTTTAGCTCCAACAGCGGGTTACCATTGATAGTTAGCCCCAATTCGAGTAATTGTAGCGAGGGTTGGAAGAACGCAGTGGTGCCTTCCATCCGGTAGCCAGGTGCCAGGTTCAGTCTTATAGAAACCTCTGTGGTTCTGGCCGGTATCACCACGGCGGACTCAGTTATCATGTTGCAAGCTTCAGGAATAGTCTGCCCGGATGCCATTCGCACAGGGTCGAAAGACAAGGCATGTTGAGCTGGCTGCGCCAAAGACCAAAGAACTTGGTGTATGGTATCGAGTTTAACACCCAATCACACCAAAATATCCGCTCCAACATAGACTGTATGCGGGAGGTTCGCGACAACCAGTAAGTAGTGAAATACTTCCTTGTTTCCAATGCGGATCGATAGCGCACATACCCATAAAGCGGTGAGTGTCGTCTGGGGAGTCGTTCCCAGTGTGAATCTGAACGTTTTCGGAACCAGGGGGTGGCAGTTAGCCACTTTTGAAATGTTGTTGAACATTTCCAAACTGATTGCAAGTTTTTCAGATCAGGTTGCCAGTATGGCATCCTCAACCATTGTGCCGTTTAGGCACATGCTGACTATCAGTGGATGGTGGTATGTATAGGCTGGTGATTCACCCAAGCTACATAGGTAAACCTCATGTTCGGTTAGTTTCTGAGTTGAACTAGTCACCCTGTCATCTGCCACAAATGGCGAACTCATTACCAAGTTCACTGGGGGTATATCAGTTGACGAAGCCGAACCATCGTCGTCGGATAACGTATTGTATGTAGCCTTCGATGAAGGCGGTGGTGTCAGCAGAGTTATTGCGATTTGTGACCAGATTTGGTTGGATTTCCAATCCATCAGTGGTACCAAACGTCTATTAAATCCACCCCAATCAGCATCTGCTTGGTGTCAAGGCTAGTCACTTAGACAGGGTGGACAAGTGACACGCTTTTGAAGTTGAGTTTTAGTAGGATACGCTTGGTAAGAGGCAAGGTAGACTGAGTGAAATCTCTAAGTTTAGTGTCGCATCGCTCTGTATTTAACCAACGTTTTGCTGGGTTCACTGCCCTTATGAGTTCATCCAGCAAAGTTTGAGATATGAGGGAAATAGTCGAACCCAAATCTATCAGTGCATCACAGGTCAAACAGTCCTCTAAGACAGCTTTGAGGTATGGCCTATTCGAGTCGGTTTTTCTTGTCATATCGCCAACAAAGTGGAGTGGGTTGGCAGAACGGAGTGGTGAGTTGTCGATTTTTAAGACAGATTGCTGTACTTCGTGACCCAGTGGGTCCTCTGTCGGAATGGGAGAGGAATCAGCTGTTGTAACGCTGCTTACCTTGTGCGTCGCAACATCTATATCATGGAGCGGGCCCTGGACTGGGATTTGAGTGAGGGCGGGCGGGGTTAAGGTGAACGTTTCCCACCTGGCAAATGGTGTTAATTTCAGGGGACCCTTTCTCCGGCAATTTCACGCCTAGTCATGGTTACTTATCTTTTCCCCCTTTCTCAATTTTTTTGGCGCTGCAGTACATCTCTTCTCAGAGCTTCTAGAAAGCTTTGGGTTATGTCTTGGTCGTCATCGAACCCTTTGTTACTCTTGTTACGCTTGTTAGCCTTGTTCCCTGACCATTTGTGAGTGTTAGATGCAGGAACGTAGGGGCCAGATCGACCTCTGCTGGGCCTGTTTGGTGGGGATGTTATTTGTAGCTATCGTTACTGCGGTAGTCATTGGTGTGGTATGTTCTTGGTAGCCGCACACCTGTTGCATCATCTTTGTTGTTGAATGAGTTACCGTTTCCCAAATTAACTCTAAAGATATCTAGATATCTCTTAACGTTTAACAGTCATTTATTAATAATTTACCTCATATCAGTCTCATTCTGAAAGTTGTAGACTCTTTAAGTCTGCACGAACCCGGGTCTTTACTGATCATTCCGTATCACACAAATTGATTTAATTATTTATTAAATAATTTTAAATGATAACACAAGATACAAATACGTGCACGGTATAGGTAGGGATTATAAACTTAATACAATAAAAACGTGTCCCTAGCGGACTAACACAATATGACACTTCTTACAAAAGATGGTGAGTTAAAGAGAGAGAGAGACAACACTTGGATTCACATGGACCTACGCTCACAGTAATCCTAGTACTTTGCCCCGAACTGCCGCCCGTTTGGGAAGAAAAGCAATTCATGTATTTACGTGTTGGAGGTCTTAATCGTGTATCTCTGTTGCACCCAGGCTTTCGTGGGAAAGGGTCGATTGGGCCTTCTCTTTCGGATGGCCTTTTAGATGTAAGGCTCAGATTGTCCACAAGAGGTCACAATGTCCTTCTTCTTAGTTGTCTGTTTACTTTCACTCATTCTGGAAATTGTCTTCTGAGGACAGTGTAGTAGACAATGGCTTCAAGAGAGTAACAGGATGGTCCCACTTAAATTCACCTTCTTAGATACAATACTTAGAACAGCTACTCAGCCGTAACATTGATTGTTAGTGGAGACAACTTTGTCGTCTTCACCTCGTGTTGATTTTCAGGGTCGGGACCAATATGGACAAAAGCTGCAGCTTGAGGTCCGTCTAGTCTGATCTGATAATTATTATCTCAATCTTTTATGCACTCTGGTAAAGAGGGGCGTTTCCGTAATACTGACACGCTCTCTGAGCTCCCTCGGGCGTGGCTAGTTACGAGGCAAAAGTATTATCATCACCATGATTTTGTTAGAAAGCTAAAATCACATTCCTATCTTCACGAAAAACATTGTCTTCCTCCTTGATATTTTCTACACAAGGTAAAGGATGTAAGCCTGATATACACAGTGTAAAAGATCTTCAAGTCACAATGTTTTCATTATAACACCTTTATACCATTTTTAATAACATCACGAAATAGACATTTTGCATATTCCATTTCTCATCATTCCCAACTAGAATGCCAGAGATAGATTATCCTCCTCTCTAATTTATGGCAGTATTAAGGTGTCAAGACCAGCACAGCCCCCCTGTGGGTAAGCGGGTCTGGTTGTTGTCAGCCATTTGCCAAGCTGATGTGAGGCCTTTGATCCTCACCCAGGGAGAGTCATGACACGTCAGAGCAAAAACCAAGCCATGAGGTCGAAGGAATTGTTCGTAGAGCTCAGAGATAGGATTGTGTCGAGGCACAGACCTGGGTAAGGGTACGGAAAAAATTCTGCAGAATTGAAGGTCCCCAAGAACACAATGGCCTCCATCATTCTTAAATGGAAGAAGTTTGGAATCACCAAGACTCTTCCTAGAGCTGGCCGCCCGGCCAAACTGAGCAATCAAGGAAGAAGGGCCTTGGTCAGGTAGGTGACCAAGAACCCGATGGTCACTCTGACAGAGCTCCAGAGTTCCTCTGTGGAGATGGGAGATCCTTCCAGAAGGAAAACCATCTCTGCACTACTCCACCAATCAGGCCTTTATGGTACAGTGGCCAGACGGAAGCCACTCCTCAGTAAAAAACACATGACAGTCCGCTTGGAGTTTGCCAAAAGGCATCTAAAGGACTCTCATACCATGAGAAACAAGATTCTCTGGTCTGATGAAACCAAGATTGAACTCTTTGGCCTGAATGCCAAGCGTCACATCTGCAGGAAACCTGGCACCATCCCTACATGAAGCATGGTGTTGGCAGCATCATGCTGTGGGGATGTTTTTCAGCGGCAGGGAGACTAGTCAGGATCGAGGCAATGGTGAAAATGAGCAAAGTTCATAGAGATCCTTGATGAAAACCCAATCTAACATCTCTGGAGAGACCTGAAAATAGCTGTGCAATGACGCTCCCCATCCAACCTGACAGGCTTGAGAGGATCTGCACAGAAGAATGGGACAAACTCCCCATATACAGGTGTGCCAAGCTTGTAGCGTCATACCCAATAAGACTTGAGGCTGTAATCGCTGCCAAAGGTGCTTCAACAAAGTACGTTTTTAATTTTTAATACATTTAAATTTATATTTACAACTTTTTTTTGCTGTGTCATTATGGGGTATTGTGTGTAGATTGATGGGGGGGGGACAATACATTTTACAATAAGGCTGTAAAGTAACAAAATGTGGAAAAAGTCAAGGGATCGGAATACTTTCCGAATGCACTGTATATCGCGTTGTGTTTTAACCTCTTTCTGTCTGACTTCTGACATACTGTCGCTGTGTAAAGAACTACTGGCATGACTCATTAGTGTGCAGGTACTAACTCCTTGGCTGGGTGCTAAAACTGACATTCTTAATCTGCCCATTTCATTATCCCTCAGTTTACTGCCTCTGGCACAACATGGCTGCCATCAGTCTCCAAGCATTCAAAAACAGAGGTGGATGAATAGGCCTGTATAAATATAAGTACAAAGTCTGTGGATCGGCTGTTGTGTGGAAGATAATAATTTGATATGGTACCATCCCAAATAGACAGGCCTAAAACCACCATTCAGCCAAAAGGGTTGAGGAAGGCCGTAATGTGTATGTTTGTGCGTGTGTGAGAGAGATTTGTATAGATTTTTGTATTGATGTTATTCATTAAAGGGAAGAGGGCATTTTTGTATGTATTTATATTCATAAAAGGAGAGGATAGGGCGGTAGCTCCTATCTCACGGATGTGTAGGGCTTGAGTGACGTAGTACGCATGTCTTCTTGCAGTGCGCGCACGGCCTGTCAATGCAGAGAGAGTACATAATTCCGTGAGGTCATGTTTTGTAGCAGGACAACAGAATAGCCATAATTTATTATCTAAATAAATAAACTTAATTCATCTTCATCTTCGAGGACGCGGACTATTGTGGCGAATCCAGAAGTGACATTCTGTATTTTGTTGACGGAGGTAAGCCTTGTGTTTCTGCGCCGCTGTCCATGGTATTGTTTAGCTGTGGGGGAGGGTCGTTTTCACCGCACCGCACGCAATTTACAGATGCTGTTTGTTGTAAATAGATTATAAAGGTGCAATGTATTCTATCATATTCACCTAATAGGCCACACGTGTCCACGATTTAACGTTACTGTACCACGATATACTCGATTGTTGGATTGGCATAGATAGCGCTCAAAATAAGCGATCCCGTTATGTGTAGCACAATACTGCATCGCATAGGCTAGGCTACATACAGGCTGTAATAATATTACCAAAAAGCTGGCTTTGGAAGTATAGACTCACTTGCTACATTGTAGCGTGGTTGGTTATTGTCATATTGTCAAGGCACCGGTGTTGTGTTTTACCTGGCAGCCACATCTACATATAACGGTAAAGGGTCGGCTGGCCAAGGTTATTATGACTGTATTTACATACCGGGGATTGTCAGGGCCATTAAAGCAATTGATCACTCCTGATTATAAACAATCTGAATGGTCAATATTTAAGCCTGAAGATCTTCCCTCAGCCATTCTTGAAGTCTTGGCAACACGATGTTCAGTGTACAATGTTATGATAAAGACAGCTATGCCTGGGATATATTTAGGGTACAATAACCGTTGGACAGTATAGGCATAGTATTTACATATAGTCTAGTGCCAGAATAGGTCTAAATTATTGTATGGTCTTATCTGTATACCCACCCACTTACACAATAACATGTTCAAGACTGAAGCCTATATAGGTAATGACACTGGTGAACGATGTATTATTTTATATAAAAATACAGAGGGAAATGTAGGAATGAAATCAGATGGTTTATGTGTATGTTCCAGTGTTATTTGTTGCTTAGTTATACTGTATTAAAGGTCCAATGCAGCCGTTTTTATGTCAATATCAAATCATTTCTGGGTAACAATGTACCTTACTCGATTAAAATGGTAAAAAAGAAACAAAAATAGTTCAAAAAGCATTTTCTCAAGCAAGAATTTAGCTAGCACTGTCTGGGAGTGGCCTGATTGAGGGGCCTAATTGGAGGAGCCTAATGGGAGGGACATGAAAATTAGCTGCTATTAACTAGCTGCAATATGTAACTTTTGGGGGCGACCCGACCAGATTCACATAGAAATGTGTGTTATAGATATGTCATTCTCATTGAAAGCAAGTCTATGAAGTGGTATATTTTTTCTATGTGTGCTATTTCTAGACTTCCCTTAAGTTTAGTTTTTGCGTCTTTTACTTTCTGTTTTGTACACCAGCTTCAAACAGCTGAAAATACAATATTTTTGGTTATGGAAAAGATATTCCACAACAGTTTAGATGGGACAATGCAGGGGCGCAACTTTGGTTTTAGAAGTGGGGGGGACATAATCCGCTCGGAGGCGTCCGCATGGTCCTAAAGCACACCGTTGCCTCGTTTTGTATCACATTACAATGATAAAACTGGGGGAGGCAGAAATGCAATTTCAGAATGTGGGGGGGACATGTCCCCCCGTCCCCTGTCCCCAGTGAAAGTTGCGCCCCTGGTACAATGATTCTCTACACTATACTTGCTTGTTTTGTCACATAAACTGAAATTAAGCGAACTATTAGAATTTTAGCAACCAGGAAATGGAAGTGTGATTTCTGCATAGTGCATCTTAAACAGAGAGAAGGGCAAACTCTCTTTGTTATTGGTCTATTAACTTACACCGCCTGGTGTCGCTAGGTGGTCCAAAAATCCCACCCATGCAAACAAGCAGACATTTTTGGTGGTCTTTTCAAACAGCTCTTACACTAAAAGGGCATTATCATAATTTTCACAATTTAACGGTATGATTAAACTCATAGTGTGGAAATATGTGTAAAACACAGGAAAATCACGTTTTTGACTGCATTACCCCTTTAATAGCTTGAGGTGAGATTAATGATTGTGGATGTTTTGTCAGATGTACGCTATAGTTAGTTTTATTTATTTTTTAGTCATTTTAGCAGACGCTCTTATCCAGAGCGACTTACATTATTTTTTATACCCCCCGTGGGAAACGAACCCACAACCCTGGCGTTGCAAACGCCATGCTCTACCAACTGAGCTACATCCCTGCCGGCCATTCCCTCCCCTACCCTGGACAACGCTGGGCCAATTGTGCGCCACCCCATGGGTCTCCCGGTCGCGGCCGGTTACGACAGAGCCTGGATTCGAACCAGGATCTCTAGTGACACAACTAGCACTGCGATGCAGTGCCTTAGACCACTGCGCCACTCCTGTATTGGTGGGGCTCAGGATTGACTGCCAGTGTTGAGGGGCTGTTTATCATGTTAATTATGAAGACAGATCATCAGTCATTAAACTGGAGTGGAGGCTGAAGTGGAGGGTCGCTGACTGTAATTGCACGGCTGTAGATGTGTAGCTGCCGGCCTAACTCACAGGCCCTTGATAGACTTTCCGAATAATGCAAAGTGGAGATGGACAGAGAAAGGAGAGAGAGGAGGACGGAGTGAGAGAAAGGGGGAGAGAGAGGGAGAGAGCAAGAGAGCTGTTGTTGGTGCAGCCAGTCACTGACTGAAGTGGAAAGATAAAATGTAAATGTAATAAGATACTGCAGTTATAGCCAGTATTCATCCATTTGTCGCATAATGATTACACACAATAAACAGTCACTGTAACACATTAACAGGTGCTACTGTTCACTGGTAACTGCATCTTACAGTAACTGACATCCAAGAGGTAAGTAGCACTATAGCTCCATTGTATAGCATAATGTTGGCTACATAAGGTTATGCTTTATTCATTAACCATAGTGTGTTTGTAAATCATTATACAGCAATTGTTCATTTATTCTTTCAGACTTACAGTATATAACCTACAATTAAAAGCAGTACGCTAAGCACCACACTCCATCCACCTGAACCATGATCTTATGACTACCTGACTTCTGTCTGATGATTGATATAAATAATTACTATGACACTGTGCGGGTGTGGGAATCTGTGAGTGTTTACTTTGACATGGCGGGGGATGTCTCTGATGTGAAAGTGTGACGTTAGCGGGACAGATGGGATGTCAGAGGAAACAGCATGGGCTGAATCATATTTAGCCCTTATTATTTACGTCACTCTCATCCAGAGCGACTAGGGTTAAGTGCCTTGCTCAAGGGCACAGACAGATTTTTCACCTAGTCAGCTCGGGGATTAGAACCAGCGACCTTTCGGTTACTGGCACAACGTTCTTAACCACTAAGCTACCTGGCGCCCCATTTAAAATCAACATCCCACACCATCCATTGTTTAGATCCAGCTACAGTCCCTAGGGAAAGTCTTCACACCCCTTGCACAGTTGTCACATTTTGCTGCCTTATATTTAAATATAAAAAGGATTACATTCGATTTTTTCCTACTGATTTACACAACCTACTCTACATTTTCAAAGTAGAAAATAAATACAAAATACATTTTTTAAAATTCATATAAAAAATAAAACATTTCTTGATTGTGTATGTCTTCACACCCCAGAGTTAATAATTGTTCAAAGCACCTTGGGAAGCAATAATTACAGCTGTGAATCATAATGAATAATATTTCACCAGCTTTACACAACTCTTGGAGCAGCATATATCCTTTGTGCTTGGCAAAATTGCTGAAACTAAGTCAATTTGGTTGGGGATCATTGATGGACAGCAATATTCAAGTCTTATCTCAGCTTTTCAAACAGATTTATGTCAACACTGTAACTAGACCATTCAGGAACACGCAACACCTATTGAAAAGCCATTCTAGTGTGTCTTAAGTCTTAACATGTGTGTAATCCCCCTTGACAGGGCATGTACTCCAACATGTACATTTCCGTCTTGATCTAGTTGGTCACAATTTTTTTATCAGAGATTTCATATATGTTTATTTAGCTTAAAAGTGTTCAAGTTCGACTGATATTTGAAACGAGCTTCCCTTCCAAACCTCATGAATGACAATAATTAAAACAGGTGAAGGTTTTAAGTTTCAGACCATGGAAGTAACATTTCAACATGGTTTTGAGGGTCTTGATTGTACAATGCAAGTTTAACTGCACTCCAGGACTCCTATGGATCAGGTTAGTGTATATGAGGAAGAAGGAGATATGTTTTTTTTATACAACTTTACATAATTGTTATTCTTTATGAGCCAACAAACCTTTTTATAAAAAAATAAGAGTACTTAACTGAAAGTCGTGCACAGGAGGCACTGTTTCTCTACGATAGAAGAGAATGTATGAAAATGTATGCACTCACTAACTGTAAGTCGCTCTGGATAAGAGCGTCTGCTCAATGACTAAAATGTAAATGTAAATGTAATTGTCCCACTGAAAAATAACAGTGTTAGGTCTTCAAAAGTTTTTACCTGGGCTTTGCCCCTTTCATATTTACTTTGGACCTGACACAACTCCCCAGTCCCTGCTTGTGACAAGCATACCTATAACATGATACTCCCACCACAATTCAAGAAAATGTAGAGGGCTTCACTCTGTGTGTCACGCCCTGACCTTAGAGATCACCTGTATTCTCTGTTTGGTTAGGTCAGGGTGTGATTTAGATACATTCTAGTGTATCTATTTCTATGTTGGCCGGGTGTGGTTCCCAATCAGAGGCAGCTGTCGATTGTTGTCTCTGATTGGGGATCATACTTAGGCAGCCATTTTGCCTACCTATGTTGTGGGATCTTGTTTCTGTTTCGGCTTGTTGCTGTTAGCCTTTAGAACTTCACGTTCAGTTGTTTTTGTTATTTTGTCAAGTGTTTATTTAATAAATTAAACATGTACGCATACCACGCTGCACCTTGGTCCGATCCTTTATACAACGAACGTGACACTGTGATGTGTTGGGTTGGATTTGACACAAACCTTAGTTTTTCATTTAGGCCAGAAAGTTAAATATGCTGTCTTGAAGTACAGTATATCTTAAGGGCCATGTTGCAAACATGAGTGATTCATTTTTAGCACAGGATTCCTTCTTTTCACTACAAACAGGCCAGTAATGTAGAGCGAATGCAATGTTGTTGATCCATGCACAGTTTTCTCTCAGCTCAGCCAATGAACTGTGGCTGTTTTATTTGGCCACAGTAATATCCCTGAACAGATTCCATTCTTTCCTGCAGCTCAGTTAGGAAGGATGGCCAGATCCTCAGTGCCAGGGTGATATGATACACCACCTACAGATTATTTACCCAATGTGACCAACTCAAAGTGTCTATGAAATATTTTGTAACCTCCCCTGATATGTGCCTGTCTAAAAATGAATCACTGACATATTTTTAAAACTAATTGGTGGGTCTGAGGTCGAAGCATTGTTAGAATATCACTGTCTAACAGAGGGACCTTACAAAGACAGGGTAAGTTAATAAATAATGAGAACCACTACTTATGCGAATAGGTGAAAATATTTGCTCTTCACACATCAAGGTGTGTAAAGACTTGCGCAATCAAGGTATCTTTGTTTTCTATTTGTTATTAATTTCAGAATATGTCTACAATTTTCCTTACGCTTTGAAAATGTGGAGTAGTTTATGTATATCTGTAGAAAAAATATATATTTTAATCCCTTTTTAGATTTTAATTTAAGGCAGCAATATGTGACAACTGTGCAAGGGTGTGAAGACTTTCACTAGGCACTGTAATACAGTACCTCAACCAACAAATTAATTGAAAAGATAAGCACCGCAGATCTGGAAATTGCATGTTGCTTATTCTCCATTCATTTTGGATTGTGGCACATACACATGGCCTGGGACGTGGACTTATCTCACAAGAAAATTGCTTTTGATTTTTGAAAACATCTGATCATCTGATTTTGGAGTGTAATGACCCTTTAGGTTTAAGAAGGAAAACTGTAGCATTGGAGAAGGTTAATAAGAAGAATAGGTTAAAGCTAGAATCGTTAATTCGTGAAACTGCCATGTCCGTTCGGGATATTACTACAATAAAGAAGTTATTGCAAACAACAAACACATGTATTTTTTTCTCTGACATCATTGCACTCACGATAGGACAGCAGAATATGCACCCCAAAAAACTACCACACTGCCGAATGCTCCTCAGTTTTCATCAACAACAAAAAAACTATAACAAAGGCGCTGGGGGGCGAACAGTGGCGCGGTTTCCCTTAATGCGGATTCGATCTTAAAGATAGAAACATATACACTTCAGAACATACCGTAGCTACCTGTGTTCTGTAACCTAGCATATGTTATGCTCTCTCTCTCTTTCTCTTTCTGTGTGTGTGTGTGTGTTTGTGCACACTTGTGTGTGTGTGTGTGGGTCCATAGTACAGCGAGCCTAGTTTGGATGCCCAGAAATCAGCTCCTCCAGGTTTCATCATGAATAAAAACAAGCGAGGAGGAGAGAGGGAGTTCTACAGTTTAGATGTCGGAGATTCCACCTTCAAAGTTCTGAAGCGCTACCAGAATCTAAGGCCCATCGGCTCAGGAGCACAGGGAATCGTCTGGTAAGTGTAATCACTTTGCAATTACTATTTAATTGCTGAGAATAAAAACAATGTGCTGGTGGGCTCAAATGGGTAAAAACTATAAGGCCATGGAGACTTGGTACAAGGTACTCTTTGAAAAGTCTATGACTGGCAGAAAACTAAGGGGATGAAGGACACCCCTTGGTAATTACACATTTTTGGATTGGTATAGTCATTTTTGTCTATATATTTTTGTTATGCTATTATTCTTAATATTTTATATAATTTACTTTATGTTCACACCCCTGTTTCATTTCCTTATGTGGTATTATTTTGTTTATGTGACATGTTTTCTTATTGGTTCTTCTGCAACTCAAACGTGATTTATAGAGCCCCCATGTGGACATTACAAATTTTACGCCCTGATGAAGGCTGACACCCATGCCGAAATGCGTTGGCGTTTGTTTGTTATGTTTTTAACTATTTCTAACGAAATGCCAAGAAAATAAATGCTTTAATCAACAAGTTCATCCCTTCGTTTTCTTCAAGTGCCTTGATGGAAAATGTCAGCCCCACGATACATTTTTCAAAATAAAATATAATTTAGTGGTGGCCTTTATCCCATTAGTTTTTTCTGCCAGTCATATACTACTTCATGAATGTTTTAACAGCGGTTTGTACCAGGTAATTACCAGTAAACAATGGAATGCAAAATAAAGTGTTGCAGTGTATTGTTTTCAAATACTTTTTGTTTTATTTAGCCCCATGAAATACTTTTATTTGAGATTCAATTGGTTTCCAAGGTAACATACAATTTAAAGCTACATACCAAAGTACCCCACAGTTTTAATTTGTCTAAATACTGTGGTGCTGAATCAATGGAGGAAGGCTGATGCCAAAGCTGGTCTATCAATGGCAAAATGGACCATGGAATTCAGTCATTTGGAGAGTGAAGTCCTCTTTTTAGGTTACGTTTCAAGGTCACATGCTTTAAAAGACCCAATGAAAAGAAACACCAATCAGACATTCATTTAAATTCCTATTTTACAGTCTGTATCACACCATTGTTACAGAAGTGTTCATGTATTGCCATGTTCTTGGTCTTGCCTTTTAGCTCAGCGTATGACCACAACCTTGAGAGAAATGTGGCTATTAAGAAGTTGAGTCGGCCGTTCCAGAACCAGACGCATGCCAAGAGAGCGTACAGAGAACTGGTGTTAATGAAATGTGTAAATCACAAAAATGTAAGTCTGCCTACCAACACGAGTCAATGACTTCTTCCTGCTGTTCTATTATGTTCTAGATGAGACTCTATGACAATTATGCTCAATTATGTTTATGAATGGCCTGGCTGGACATAGAGAGGAAAGGAACAGTAGGAATATTCTTTTATGAATGCATAATAATACTTCAGATAGAACAGTAAACAGGCATTTGCCTTGGTAGCTTATATTGTGACTATACAGAGCACTAGAATGCGGTTTCAGTCAGTCAGCATCCAGGACTTTTTATTGTTATATTGCATAATACATTTGAAATTGAATTGATTACAAACGTGTTATGATGGACTGTTTTTCTTATATTGAGGAAACTAATCTAGCAAGCATCCTGTATGACTCGTGTGTTTGTTGTTACCTCTACAGATCATTGGCCTATTAAACGTATTCAGCCCACAAAAATCATTAGAAGAATTTGCAGATGTGTAAGTACATTAATTGGTGTAGAATAACATGATAAACCTTTGACAGTGTAGGTTACATGCTGTTAGGAATTAAGACATAGGAGGATCTTTTGAACTGTCTGTCATTAATGACAGAATGACTCTGCTATTACCAGAATAACTGTGTGAAATCTCTCTGCCAGCGCATATCCCTCTCTGTTCAAGCCATCCAGCTGGCTCCACAGTTACCTCATGATGTGGGTGTGTGCGCCCGCTTGTGTTTGTGTGTGTGTCTGCGCCTGTGCGGGTATATCCTCATCTCTCTTCCTACCTGTGTAGATACATTGTGATGGAGCTGATGGATGCCAACCTGTGCCAAGTGATTCAGATGGAGCTGGACCATGAGAGGTTGTCCTACCTGCTCTACCAGATGCTGTGTGGCATCAAACATCTCCACAATGCCGGCATCATACACAGGGTAAGGCTCAAACTGGCTCATACACGCTAACGCTAAGCTAACATGTAGACACGGGGTACGGCTCAGGGTAACACTAAGCTAATAATGTAGCGATTATGTAGCTCGTCATTATCATTTGTAGCTCGTCATTACAAATTCTGGGGCATTTTTGTATTTCCAGGAAAAGTAAGCTCAAAGCTCCGAATACAGTAACTCCTCCACAAATAGTAGGTGATAATGTCAGAGCTTTGATGTTGGCTAAATCCACGGGAGATCAAGAGGAACCTGCTAATGATCTAAACACTGCTTTTGCGTCCGAAATGGCACCCTATTCCCGGGCTCCAGTCAAAGTAGTGTGCTTTATAGGGAGGGATAGATAGGGTGCCATTTGGGATACATATTTGGAGCGTGTACACCTTAGACAAGGATGGGAAAAACCCAATAACCACCGAGATCATTATGAGATTCATCTAGATTTGTCACGATCGTCGACAGATGCGGACCAAGGCGCAGCGTGATAGGCGTACATACTTTATTTGTACACAACAAGAACCAAAACAATAAACAATACGTGAAGTCCTAGGTCAAAACACAAACCTTACGGAACAAGATCCCACAATGACTAGTGAAAACAGGCTGCCCAAGTATGGATCCCAATCAGAGACAACGAGCTACAGCTGTCTCTGATTGGGATCCACCCTGGCCAACATAGAAATACACGATCTAGAACGACAAACCTAGAAAACTAAACAAGGAAAAATCCACACCCTGGCTCAACATTTAAGAGTCCCCAGAGCCAGGGCGTGACAAGATTCTAGAACACTGTAACTGGTTTGTATGTCATGCTTCTAAGCTGCTAGCATACAAGCAAATCTGTGAAAGATGACTCACTACACTATTGTAGTTAAAATGGTGTGACTCATTACTGTTGTGAATATGGTGAGGAATATGGATGCTGACGGTTTTATAATATATTATGATGACGACACCAACATAGCTTCACTGATGTCCCCCATCTGTCTCTCTCATTGTTTGGGGAGCATTATGTTCCCTTACTATAATAGCGAAAACATATTGCCAAGACTGCAATGATGCTCTCTGATGGAATTGTCTGCCAGAGTCTTTTAGTCTTTGCGCTGGAACACACTTCCCAGGCTACAGCCCAAAACAAAAGAATGGTGGTGTGCAGCTGACAGTCGCCTAATGACAGTTTTGGGTTGATTGTCCTGTGTAGGTGTCTGGGCCTTAAAGTATGCTGCTGCTATTGATGATGATGATGATGAGGATGATGATGAGGACAACGATGATAATGATGATCTCTCTTTGTCCCTCCTCTAGGATCTGAAGCCCAGTAACATTGTGGTGAAATCAGACTGTACATTGAAGATCTTGGACTTTGGCTTGGCTCGGACAGCGGCTACAGGTTTACTGATGACCCCCTACGTAGTGACCAGATACTACAGAGCACCAGAGGTCATACTGGGGATGGGCTACCAGGCCAACGGTCAGTACCTGTCAATCAAGCAACTAATCAATTGATCAATCAATCAAGCAAATATTCATTCTACCCATAATGATTGTATGCATTAACCACCACTGCAGAAACAATGGTCTCTTTATTAACTGCTAAAATCTAATTAGCTTGTTTCTGTGTCATCCCCCCCCCCCCCCTCTCTTCTCCATGTTGTAAACAGTGGACATATGGTCTGTGGGGTGTATTCTGGCAGAAATGGTCCGCCACAAAATCCTGTTCCCAGGAAGGGACTGTATCCTTAGTGCTTCTGGCTGTGAATCATCTCCTTAAGTAATAAAACAGTTTGCCAGTTTGCCACCATTAAATAATAAATAAAACAGTTTGCCACCATTTCTCTTCAGTCTCTCAGTTTCCGAGATGGAAAATGAATTTCACATCCTGATTTCCTGCTTTTTCCTTCCCATTTGACAGAGGTCTCCGTCGCTCGAGACTGGCAGATGCTGCATCCATTTTCACTCTCATTTACCCGATTTACTCATTCATGCTTTGCTTTTTCTCCTTCATTCACCAGATTTATCCCTCTTTCCATTTTCTGATTTATTTGTGATATCCATTTTTTGTAATCCATTCACTTTTTACTCTCTAATTTCCTTCCCCTGTTTTTCATTTTTTCTCTCCGTTGTGTTTGCATGTCATCTCTCCATTCATCGGGTAGTGGACGTGTGGTCAGTGGGCTGCATTGTGGCTGAGATGGTCAGAGGTAATGTGTTGTTCCCAGGCACTGACCGTATCCTTTCCTCTTTTACCGTGATATCATTTTATCCTGTCTGTGTGTTTTTACCATCAACCACTTCCCTATGGAGCACTCCTTATGCATGCCACCCACCATCATATCCACCATATCCAAATACAGCCACACTCCCATCCTCCCTCCCCAATAACCACCTCAGCTTCTGCCAGTACACAGAGATAGTTCTAGAAAACAGAGATAGTTCTGGAAAAGTAGTTCACTAACAAAGTAATAGTGTGTGTTTGTGGAGAAGGCTGTATCTGTGTGTACTGTTTCCCTAACTCCACCTGCTCAGACATTGACCAGTGGAACAAGGTGATAGAGCAGCTCGGGACTCCGCCCCAGGAGTTCCTGATGAAGCTCAACCAATCAGTAAGGACGTATGTAGAGAACAGGCCGCTCTACGCAGGATACAGCTTCGACAAACTCTTCCCTGATGTCCTCTTCCCTGCAGACTCAGAACACAACAAATTGAAAGGTACTGGAGGCGTTGTGTGTGTGGGTAGGGTGTGTGTGTATGCTCGTGCTGGTCTGAACTATATTTTCTCTCCATTCCCAGCGAGCCAGGCCAGAGACCTGCTGTCTAAGATGTTGGTGATCGACTCGTCTAAGAGGATCTCGGTGGACGAGGCCCTGAAACACCCCTATATCAACGTGTGGTACGACCCAGCAGAAGTGGAGGCGGTAAGTGTTTAACAAGTGGTACGATCTATTGGAGGGGGAACTTGGAAATTGGACTGAAACGGTTGACACTTTTAGTCAGAAGAGTGAACTACGGTTGATGGTTTGATGTAGGGACCTTCTCTACTCTCTTTCTTTTGCTTTCTTTTTCCTCTCAGCCCCCTCCAAAGATCACAGACAAGCAGCTGGATGAGCGAGAGCATACGGTGGAGGAGTGGAAAGGTTAGAGACGTTACTACAACTATCACTTTTCGCTAGACATGGGTCACATACATATGTCAACTACTTTGAAATACTTGAACGAATTGAACATACAGTATATGCTCGATTTATCTTGGAGTTTGCACTTTTAGGACTTCATTTTGGTTCCATTGTACCAGAGCAGCTTTCACTTTTCACTACAACATTTTCACTGTAATGTTGACATTTGACTTGTTTTACGACTTTTCCATGTTATGTTATGGTGTGAAACGTGATGCTGCAGAGCTGGCCAGGTTTAAAGGCTGGGTGTAAATATCACTGTCACCGGGTTCGCCTGGCTCAGGGTCCAATAGGATGAGGTCACATTGATACTGACCCCCCAATGGGTGTTTATGATCTTCTCCCGGTGGTGATTTCTGTATTTTGTTACTTGTCATGAGGGCAAATCTCTCTCCCTCCCTCCCTTCCCTGTCTTCTAGACCTGATCTGGAAGGAGGTGTATGAGTGGGACGAATGGACCAAGCAGAATGGAGTGATCAGAGGACAACCTCCTCCTTTAGGTTAGTTAACACTGTTTCTGATGTTTTTTTATTTTACGTATGTGAGCTGGTCTCTGCTGTTATTGTATTAAATGTCACTCTGAAAACACCATGAATAAAACGCAGTTACTGAAAGAGAGCATGCAGAGCTGACTCATAGGAGGGAGGTGAATAATGTATTTGGATGCTGTAGGGGGGTTGCTGTACCCCTTACAGACTCAGAGGGGTTCTTCCGGCACTCTATGGTGTGTGCCACACAGGTGTATCTTGCAGGACAGTGTGTGTGTTTGTGCATGTGCGTGCTAGTACCTAGTACAGGTGTATCAGTCATCCTGTGTGTTTCTCGCAGCACAGGTGCAGCAGTGATTGACAGCTCCCCTCAGCCCGCCTCATCCTCCTCCTCGGCCAATGACGTATCCTCCATGTCGACTGAGCCCAGTGACCCCACCATGACCTCTGACACGGATAGCAGCCTGGACAGCCACACCTCCCTGGGAGCACTGGCCTGCTGCAGATAACACACGCACACACGCACACACGCACACACACACACACACACACACACACACACAGCCCCAGCCCTACACATCCGGTAGTTTGAGACACTTAAGGGTCCTTCGTTTCTTTTTGAAATTTAATTTTTTCTTTTTTTAATTTCTCTGTCTCCTATATTCTGTATTGCTGATTGTGTACATGCTGTAAATTATTTATTTATTTTATTGGGTCAGCTTCTGTCCCTCCAAGCTGTGTACAGTATGTCTATGCTGTAAATTATAGTCTTTTGGATCTTACAGTGGATGGAACTTTTTCCCCTTTTCTCTATTAGAAAGTGTTTCCTTACAAACACATATTATTTTATTTTATAGTATTTAGTGTTCATCTCAATTTATGTGGATCCTAAAAACCATTGAACACATTTCGACACCCTGTTACTCTGCCCACCCCTAGCTGTAGTGTTCTGTAGTCATGGCTACAACATTAATTTCTGCACTAGTAGAACATCTCTTTATTTATTATTTGACTGTAATTGTAACGTTTTTGGGTGTTGGATCTGGAGAGAGCATTGTTATCGAATGTTAATGAACAGATATGGGAAGGCAATAAATAACCTGGCCCAAATACCTTTGACACTTTCCCCTCTTTGTTGCATTACTTATTCAACCAGTTACAATTTTCTCCCTGCCCTTCCTACTTGTGCCTAACCCTTCGATGTTTGCAGATCTGATCATTCTGGATAAGTATAAACACCAGTACAGTTCTGGAAACATTAAATGATTGTGGCCAAGGGTAAGGGACCAATTTGAGACAAATTGGCTGTTATGTTTTATTGGTGGGGCCAGGAGTCTTTCCTCAGGTCACATGACCAGGAAAAACCCCTAGCCCTATTCATTTGATTTGATTTAAGTGCTCTTACAGCTGTCTGTGTTTTTAACCCCTCTCTATCTCGCTCTGCTGTAGAGGCACTCAAGAGTGTTTTGTTAGTTTAGTAAGCCTTAGCTCCTCTCTCTGTTAGAGGACTTGGTTTTTATTAACTACCTCGCCTATATGAGTTTCTGATTGACATAACAGTCCACAGTCTTAAAAAACAGATGTGAATAAAGTTTTAGTTGTATTTATTTGTACCATTATCAATGTTAGGAGACTGCTAGTATTGTAAGTATTCGCTGGGCACAGACGTCAATTCAACGTCTATTCCATGTTGGTTCAACGTAATTTCATTGAAATGACGTGGAAACAACGTTGATTCAACCCGTGTGTACTATGTATATACATTTATTTTTGTTTTATTTTCAGTTGATGTGCAATATCAATGATTTGTAGACTATAGAGTAGGTAGTGAGTGGTTGATTTGTATGCTAGATGGATGTTCTCCAGGGGTTTGAAAAGGTTTGCCGCCAGCCATGTTTTCCTTTTTCTAGATGAAGACGTATTTGATGGCTCGATTCCAAACCGATCTCTCACCCCCCTTCTCGCTGTTCAATCCCTATATGCCCTGTGTATTTTTGGAACTGGGCCCCATCCCTGGCTGTGGTCAGGCCTATCACACACCAGAAACATGGCTGCGTTCAGGAGGGCTCAATGCTTTGGAACGTTCAGATGGAATCTGTGGAATCCGTCTAGTAAGTTTCACCCTCCTGAACGCAACCCAGGTTTCGTGGTGTTTTCTGCGAAGGCCAGTTGTATAAATTTTAGCCTTTTGATCTGGACAAGGCCTCACTACAGACTTAATGTACACACTGGAAACAGTTAGACAATGTCAACCTGCAACTCCTGCAAATAAAGGGTTGAATTTGATTATGTTTGAATTGTTTTTTATTCTCAACGCATACTTCTTGTAAGGACATTCGTTTATGTTGACAAATGAATGGAGGCTTTCACTAGAGTCTGTTCAGTCTTGGGACATGTACCTGATACCGCTATGATAAACAAGGCTCATTTTTTAAAATCAGAAACAACAGTCACTAAACTTTTCTGTGGTGTGGTGAAACTGTGGCGTGGTAAAAGTTGTCTGGTTCAGAGGAGTATTCAAGTGCGGGAATAGAGATTCAGCATCTCTCAGACTAGAATGTTTGGAACGCCTGAGGTAGATTTTTTAACAGTGTTAGTTCAGTAAGGATCAAATGTAACCATTTAGAGGGCTATCTTTAACGGGATCACTAACAGTCTAGCACACAGGGGCTAGACTGTTAATCCGATCAGCTGTAGATCTGCGTTATAACGTGCTTGACATTTAAAGCTAATTTCCCCACAGTTACTTAGCATGACAATGCATACGGAGTGATAGACAGCCGTAGACATATGGGCTGTATGACAACAATCTTGAGCAACCTCTGAATGAATACTCCAGGGTCCGGTTTCCTGGACACATATTAAGCCCAGTCCTGGACTAAAAAGCACTTTCAATGGAGCTTCTCAATTGAGATTGCATTTTAGTCTAGGACTAGGCTTAATCTGTGTCCAGAAAACGGCCCCCTAATGCACAAGCAGAGAGACACTTAGGTCGTGTTCATTAGAGCACACAGTAGCAAAGCAGCGGATTAGAAACAATAGTATTTCTTATTGGACAAGTTCAGATAGTACCTCTCTGTTTCATTCTTCCATTTTGTGCCTACTGAACATGATCCTGTTGTCACCACTCCTGTGCCCATGTCTGAGGGTAGCAGAATTAAACTCACTTGATGGACAAGCTCGCCTGAGACCTGACCCGTGTTAGCTCCCATAGTGAATGCCTACCCACTGGGCACACCACGTAATTTCAACATTGAACAGTTGGTAATATTTGGTTGAGATGTTGCTCAATGAGATTACAACAATTCACCCACTCAAAAGACAGCCAAAAGTTAGTTGAATTTCCAATGTGTTATCACTATGCTTTCAACCATCTAAAAGCAGAACCAAATTCCAATGAAAAACAATGTCAGATTTTTGGTTTTGTTGTCACCCAAATGCCTATCACTGTGGTTTCAACCATTTAATAGCACAGCAAAGTTAAAATGGGAATACAAAGTCAGATATGTTGTTATTTACTGTATACAACAGATTGTGTTATCACTGTGCTTCATGTAATAGCGGAACCAAATGACCTGGATTGCAGTTGAGATTACATTAAAAGTAGGCCTACATGATGCAAGTGATCAATGCCGTTCGAGATTCTGAGTCATAGGCAAAATTGCCATGGGTTATGGGGGGACATGTCTCCCCGAATATTCCAAACAGTTAGATTCGTCCCCACTAATAATTTCTTTAAACCCCCCCCCCCCCCCCCTAAAAAAGGTTGACATAAGCAATGGCAAAATGTGTAGAATTGCAGGAAATTAGCTTTAACGGTCGACTTAAGGTCACAAAAAGGCACACCCCATTTTCAAATAGAAATGGGGTGTGCCTTTGGTGGTTTATTGATGTGTCATTCTGGTCATGTGTGCCGCGACCGACGTAGCTAGTTCGTTAGCTAAGCTAGCCACTTGTAGCTAGCCGGTAACTCCTCCAGTATGTGTTGACATCATTTCAAATGTTTTGTTTTTGGACGGAAGCTGTAGAGATCAGTAAAAAATGGCACTTCTTTAGCCAAACATCTTAATTCATCCCCCCAAAACTTCAAGCATTAAATGACCTGGTATGATGGTGCAATGATCAGTTATACAGTTTAAATCTGTTATTTTTGCATTTTTGCCCAAAGTCGACCTTCAAAGTAACTGTCCAGTGTTGCCAGATTTCTATGAAATATGACCGATAATTAATTACAATATGAGTGAAATGGTCATTAAGAATGTTAATAAGCAGCTTTTCTGTGTTGGAATGGTGTGGGCGTACCCCAACAACAGAAGGGTGTGGGCGTATACCTGTTATTAAAAATATTAATGTAAATAAACCACTGATTGGCCAGCTCATCCTCCTTAGGAGGATGGCGTCATCCTCTATGAGGAAATTGCAAGCATTTTTTAAACAGTCAGTTTGAGATACAAGTTTGAGGTGAGGTTTTTGAAGTGTTTTTCTCCAGTTCATGCTTTGGCCACAAATACGAGTTTAGAATGAGTCAACAACATTATTTGGGTATGAGTTAACAGAATATTACGTTTTAAAAGAGAGATTTTCACTGGACAGTTACTTAAAAATGCAACATTTTCTCTCCACCTCATGGCAAGATGTGTAGAGTTGCAGAAAGTGTACGTTAAAACTGCAACATTTTCTCTCAGCGCGTAAAAATCGTCTGTCCTGGTTGCAACACTCACTACCAAGTTCCAAACTGCCTCTAGAAACAACGTCAGCACAATAACTGTTCGTCGGGAGCTTCATGAGATGGGTTTCCATGGCCAAGCAGCCGCACACAAGCCTAAGATCACTATGCGGAATGCCAAGCGTCGGCGGGAGTGTTGTAAAGCTCGCCGCCATTGGACTCTGGAGCAGTGGAAACGTGTTCTCTGGAGTGATGCATCACGCTTCACCATCTGGCAGTCCAACGGACCAATCTGGGTTTTGCGGATGCCAGGAGAACGCTACCTGCCCCAATGCATAGTGCCAACTTTAAAGTTTGGTGGTGGAGGAATAATGGTCTGGGGCTGTGTTTCATGGTTCGGGCTAGTTCCAGTGAAGGGAAATCATAACGCTGCAGCATACAATGACATTCTAGACAATTCTGTGCTTTCAATTTGGGGAAGGCCCTTTCCTGTTTCAGCATGACAATGCCCCCATGCACAAAGCGAGGTCCATACAGAAATGGTTTGTGGAAATCGGTGTGGAAGAACTTGACTGGCCTCGAACAGTGCCCTGACCTCAACCCCATCGAACACCTTTGGGATGAATTGGAACGCCGATTACGAGCCAGGCCTAATCGCCCAACATCAATGCCCGACCTCACTAATGCTCTTGTGGCTGAATGGAAGCAAGTCCCCGCAGCAATGTCCCAACATCCAGTGGAAAGCCTTCCCAGAAGAGTGGAGGCTGTTATACTGTAGCAGCAAAGACGGGACCAACTTCATATTAATGCCCATGATTTTGGAATGAGATGTTCGATGAGCAGGTGTCCACATGTAGTGTATATAGCTAGATAGCTAGACAGTTGCATACAGGTAGATACCGTAATAGCTTGCTTTGTCCCGCAATGAACCATTGTTTACAGATGGCTCATTGCGGGACGAAGCAACGTTAAGCCAGCTAGCTGAGCTGGCCAGTTGCATTCTGCTGTTAATGTTGATTGCTGATGTGCTCAGGTATGCATAACATG